CAACTAACATGCTTTTTTACTTAAACATCTTGCAAGTCCAATGCACTAAACACTTAGCATATGGAATTTTGTGCTAACAGATGTTTGAATAGTACTCTGCAGTTTCACAAAAAGCATGTTCAACTGTGGTTAACAATGACTGTGAGCAACCTTCCAAAAGAAAAGCTTATCTTTTCATTCAGATTCATCACCACAAAAGACACTGAACCAGAGATTTCAATTAGAAAGATTTGGCAGGCATGGTGGGGCACACCAGCACTCGGAGCCAGAGGCAAGTAGACCTCTGTGAGTTCCAAACCAACCTGTTCTCCATAGCCAGGTTACAGGCCAGAAAGAAACATATAGAGAGATCCTGTCTCAAAAAAACAAACAAGAACAACAGAAAAAACAACAAAAGAAAAAGGCTTAAGACTGGTCTTAGTTGACAATATATTTAAGAATTCATGTAGGCCTAAGATGCCATACCTTAGCACACCACATAAGTACTACTGATATATTTTTCTAACATTGCAAATTTTCTCTTTGGTGAGACAACAAACGACAAAATTTCCCATACATTCCCTGATACGTGGTATTGAATTCAAGGAACCACCTTCAGCTTTCTAAAGTATGAGGTCCAGCAAGATGGTTCAGTTAGTAAAAGCACTTGCTGTGCAAGCCTAATGACAAGAGGTCGATCCCTGGAACCCAGGGAATGGTAAGAGGAAACAATCAACTCAATAAAGTTGTCCTCTGATCTTCACAGACTTGCTGTGGCACACATACCACCCCTCCCCCATCATATATACAGTGATGAAGAAAAATAAAAATTACAAGAACATCCCTAATCTCAAATTGTTACAATATTGCTCCCACAGAAAAAACCTGCTACAATGTAGCCTGATTTTTCTTCTTCCTTCTTACCATCCATTATATACAGACTTAAATGTGCTGGCATTCCCTGCACCCTCCAGAGGTAATGATATAAGTCCTTGACGATCCAAGGACTCCACAATTGCCTTTGAATGCAACTATCTTTTCATCAATTGTAAACCAGTGCTAAATTCCAGGCTCCACAGAGAATGCCTACAAATCTGTATAAACCCTGAAATAGGGGCAGAGGTCAAGGGAATCAGAGTTCAGCCTAAGCTCTAGATCTCATCCCGCCTTCACAAATATTCAAAAGAATCCTTATCAGAAAGCACTTTCAGCAAAAGCCACATTCAGGAGACCTGATCCAGAAGGGATGCAGCACAGTTGAAGTCTCAGAGACAGACCACAACTGCTTCAAATGTGAAGCACCTAATCACCAGCAGAATGCTATGAAGGACACAACGGAAAACAAGGGGGACTTGGCAATTCCTCTTCATTTGCTTCAGGAAAACCTGTCTGACAGAATAATCCTTAACCTGAACCACAGAAGAAATTTCTGTGGGTACCTATTCCATAGTAAATTCTCCCACTTTGTGTACAAAATCATCGTAATACAAGCAAAAGAGAAGTCCAAATGACACTTTAAAAAAATGACCTTCTCAGGGGCCTGGAGAGATGGTTCAGCGGCTAAGAACACTGGTTGTTCTTGCAGACGACCCAGGTTCGAATCCCAGCACCCACATGGCAGCTAACAACTGTCCGTAACTCCAGCATCAGGGGATCCGACAGCCTCTTCTGACCTCGAGGCATTGCACGACACGGGTGCACTTACCTACATGCAGGCAATACACGCATACACGTAAAATAAAAGTAATTGTTTTTTCTTTTGGTCTTTTTGAGACAGGGTCTCCCTGTAGCCCCAGCTGGCCTGGAACTCACTATGTAGACCAGGCTGGCCTTGAACTCACAGAGATCCACCTGCCTCTGCCTCCCGAGTGCTGGGATTAAAGGCCTGTGCCTCAGGGGCTGGAGAGAAGGCTCAGCGGTTAAGAACACAGACTGCTCTTACAGGACCTGGGTTCGTTTCCCAGTACCCACATGGAGGCTAACAGCCGTCCCTAACACCCATTCCAGATTTAGAGGCAGGGTCTCCCTGTATCCCCCAGCTGG